CACGTTTTCCCGCTGGTCCCTCTGATTATTTAATAGTGATGATATTTTAGAATATGGTGGTAAAATTGCAGTTCTAGCTGTTCTGGTATTGAATGTAGATGTTCTCTTTGTGTAACCTTGAGTCAGACCAGTTATTGTATTTATTTCATTAAGCAAAGTTCAGAATTTTCAGTTGCTGTCTAAAAGTTTCTATGAAATATCTCAATCACAAAGGGACAAATATTATATGGTGCCACTGCTGTAGAAAGAGGTTGACATTGGGGTGGGGCTAAGACTGGGAAAAACTGGATAAGTTATATTTACTGCATTGAAGCCGATGAGGGAGAGAATATTTAAAATTAATATATTTTAGGGCATTATGATTATCATGAGAGTTCTGAATGAGGGTTGCAGAGTGGAGTATACTTGGGGTGGGAGTGGGGATGTGTGGGGTGGGGGTGAATTGTGTATCAATGAAGGAGTTTTGCTTTTCAAGGAGAGGAGTGAACTGGGGTTTGGGTTTTAGTGAATGGGTGGGGAGAAAATTGCAACAATGAATGAATGGAATTCCAAAATCTCTGCAGATGTTCATTGAAATTAATAAAAAGAATTACAAACGAAATACATCTAGAAAAAAAAGTTTCTATGGAGATAATGTTACATTGCTTAGATTGAAAGTGATTTGAGATTCTTTCCAGAAATGATGTTTACAATAATTAATACAAAATGGCTTGATACTACATTTGGCTAATGCATAAAAATAGGTGAATACATAAATAAGGGTGATCTGTTGGTCCGCAGGAATCAGTGAGGCTAACCCCAAAGAGGTGACTCTTTGGCAGTACAAATCCCCTAGTAGATCAGATGGAGAGAGATGGGTAATCTCCATCTGTGTCACTTAGAGCCACAGAAACTCTCTGGAAGGTCAGCTGTGAGTTGATTCTCAATCCATGGCGAAGGGTTGTTGTTCTTGTTATGTGCCTTGGAGTCACTTGTGACTCATAGCAACCCTATGTACAACAGCCCTAAACTCCGCTCTGTCTGTGCCAATTGCACCATTTCCAATACACCCACCCCAACTGCCCAGTCACTAAATCAGTCTACCTCATAGAGGGCCTTCCCCTCCTGCGCTGTTCCTCCACCCACTAAGCATGATGTTCCTCTCCAAGGACTGGTCTCTCCTTAGAACATGTCCAAAGTATGTTATATGGAGCCTCAGAATCCTTGCCTCCAAGGAGC